ATCACAACGCACTGGATAGCTGGCCAATCAGAGCACACCTCGCTTTTCAGACCGATGAGCTTTGTAAAAATTTAAGAAAATTTCAGTTTCAGAAAGGAGAAACAATAATGTACAGTATGTGGAAAATAATGTGTTTTTTGAACCTTAAACCGCATAAACACATTTCATTACACCAAATACACAAAATAATGTTCTTTTTAGCAACATCATATGACCCCTTTAATAAAAGCAATAAACCATGAAAGGCTGTGCATTACAGGAAGTTTACCATGGTGCCGGTGCTTCTTGAGACTTATTTCAAATAAAATGCAACATTTTTGAAATAAATAAATACATTTATTATTATTATTATTTTGACTGTAGCCTATTTATTTCTCTGTGTTCAGGCTGTGGGCCGTGTGTTACTGCTTCAATTGATCGATTATCTGACCAGTCGTTACCTGAGTGATCCGTTGGTGACACGTTTGTTGAACAGCAGTCGTGTGCACATCCTGCCATCCATGAACCCAGACGGCTTTGAGTCATCTGCCCGGGAATGCATGTATACAATAGGCCGGTAAGTGTGAGAGAGATGCTAAAGCTATATGTACAACGGACAGCATACACAACATTCAACATTGGCATAATAGTTAAAGTGCCCCTATTATACCATTTCGAATATTCCCTGTCATGCAGTGTATAATGTAGCTCGTCCATCCACATCGTCGAATCCGGCCCTCTTTAGGAAAAGTTTGGACACCCCTGATGTAGCTGTATGTGAATGTAAACAATTTGCAAAGTTGAAAAGCCGAAAGTGCATGATAAATAAAGTTATTGTCTCCTAAAAGAAAGAATCAACTCTGAACAGCCTAAACGAGTCATCAGTAATTTGAATCCCACTTCCATGATGGCTACACGTCACGGGGAAACACATTTGCATAGTGCCCACCTATGTTCTACTTTGGCCGGCCGCTGACCCACCACAAACACTGTAGCTTGTTCGTGTGGTTAACATCATGTCGAGAAGAAGCTCTGTGTCCTACGCTGTGAAAGTAAATTCATTTTATTTTCACTTCAAAAAGATAAGGCTGCAAAAAATCAGTAGTTGAAATTCACAGCTGTACAACCCCAGTCTTTTTTTTTTTTTTATTGTGTTCCCGTCATTTTACTGACGACTGCTTCTCTAATCTCGTGGAGTTCAACGTGGGATTCACAAAACGCTT